ATCACGATTTTCCTAGTGATCATTGGTGACATTAACTGGCGCAGTCATTTAGTGACGCAAACGGATTATCACTAACAGTGTCCAATCAAATTACAGTATTTGCGCCAAAAATCGCCACGAATATTTTTTTTTAAAATTTCTATTATAGGTTTAAACGGAAGTTTAATGAACTATTCATTGTTAAAGTTAAATAACGTGAGTAAAAAAAAATTGGATACGTATTTATTTATATTTGATTGGTGCTAACTAGAGACCTGCATAAGTCCAAATTTTGAAGCCCGGCCCGGCCCGGTCTTAATTATAATTATTTGCGATGTTAAATTTAACAATTAAAAGATTTTATTTTTATTTAACAAATTACAAAAATAAAACATGTAATTTTTTTATAATTTTTTACTTGGATCTATGATTGCGATTTAAGTTTTATGATAAATTAAAAAAAGTAAAATTCTTTTGTTCATCGTAATTCGTTATCGCGTGAGTCGCGAAAGAGCACAATAAATAACATTTGAGCAATTTATAGACGATTGTTCTAATGATGACTTTGTTGAGGCATGGAAATCGGTTATTGATGATGTAGATAATTTCCGATGCCACGAGCTTCAAAAACCAAAACCGGATATCAATTTGTCATCTCACATTGCAAGTGCCTTAGTTGAGCCAAAGGATTACGGCGTAAATCTTTGCGCAACATTTGATTGAATTACAAAATGATTTCTTACAAGGAGTATTAATTATTCTTAAACATAAGCACTTAAATTTTTGGAAGGGCCTTATTTTTATCGGAAAACACGATTACATCATCATTATCATCAGAAGAATATAACGTAATTATACTCGTTACATTTAATCCCTTACAAGAAAATTTTAAAAATTACAAATGGGATGATGAGATTCTCCAAAATAGCTATCGTAATCTTTTCCTCTGACCATGGGTGTGATAACGACCAATGCTTCATACAGTGAAAATCATAATAATTATGATATCGCTTCTAAACTTACGAGATGTTTCAGATTTGAGAAAATGGAAATGCTACTTAACGACAATTACTAATTATAACTAACTATTTTGCCATGCAAAATATCGTTTCATTAAACTATTTTTTTTATTTCTGATTTTCTTGCTTAAGCAAAATTGTACACGACAACTATTCGATTTCTTTTTTTAGCGCAGTAAGAAATTTTTATTATTTTTATTATAATGAATAAACATAAGAGCACTAAATAATACAAAAATGCAATTGATTAACAACAATAAAATAATCAGTGGCCAAATTTATAAAAAATCCGGGCTGGCACCTTGAACCCGGACCCGGCCCGGAAATTCTAAACTTATTATTTGCCGGCCTCTAGTGCTAACTGAATTGGCGCCGAGAAATTTCTAATCATTTGATTGGCACCGACATTTCCGATCCGACAGTTCCGATAGACTAAAATTTACAAGCCATAATACTCCGATACGCCCCATGTCAAAAGACAGAACAAAAATTTTTGCATAGGGCGGGTTTTGCTTAATGGGCAAAACAAGTTTGATTTGCTTCCGCCAAATAATGAATGCCCAATTTTACGTCGAAATTCTCGAGAATCATATTTCAGAGATCGATGAAATGCTTGGTGATGATTGGCGGCTTCAGCAAGACAACGAACGAGCCGTAGTGCTTCGTTATAAATGTAAAAAAAGCAAAACGCTGATAAGACCCAAAAAGGAGAACCGTGATTAATTACCGGAGTTTTTTTTCTGCTTTATCAAAATTGCGGTGAAACGAAATCTAATTAATAGTGGCAATGGTGAAATTATGAAGTGAAAATTTGTTAAATTTTTATATTCAATAAAGTTCCAAACGAGAAGGGTCAAGTCCGATACTTTTTCCTCCAGGTAAAAAAAAAAGTGTTGGTAGTGCAACATAACGTACGTTCATGTGAATATGAGCCTATTTCGAATATTAAAAAGACCGTTGTTATTTATTTTTATCATATAAGAAGGGTTATGACTTTTAAGAACATGTAATTAAGGTTTCCATACATACCGAAAGTGATGATTCAACTCAAATTCCTAACTCGAAGACCAGGGTAAACATTTACCTGTGAATCCTTTTTTGCAATAACGTTCAATAAAATATTTATTAAAATCACGTGCCAATTTATAATAATTATTGATCATTAATTATTTGTGATATACATATGGATGAGAATTACTAACGAATACATGAATCTAAATCAAATATTGACAAATTTGAAGATATACGAATTCTACATATGTTACAATTTGGTTCTGATAGTGCTAATAATTTTATAATAATTCAAGAATAGACAACCGTGATCTCTCATTTCCTTAGAAGGTGCTGGTTTACAATCCCATTTAGCTGCCAAATTATGATGCAACTTTTCAAAAAACCAGCACATAAGGTCATTAAAAACTCCATTGCAGTGAGCTTCGAATTTCCAATCTGAAAAATCTCGAGCTTTTGCGTTACCCCATGTAGTTGCACACATCTTACCATGATACCACACATACAAATCATCCGTCATTTTATGACATGGCACTGCCCTAAGCTCAAGTGTAGCTTTATTTTTTTTTCCAGAAAGACCACGGGGTTGATGGCTAGTATGATGAACTTTCGTCATGTCGCTATTTTCATGATGGTCTCGAGATCCCCAGCACAAAGCCCCGCACCAATAACATGTCTCCGTACATCCGAGTCTTTTCATAATTGATTTATCGTCAGATGGGTCTTGAAAAGGTTCGGGGTTTGAATAACTTCCATCCCCTTTATTTTCAAGTTCTTTCTTGATTATACGTTGGAATAATTTGAAGCTTCCGTCTTTAATTAGGGTATGCTTAAGATCCAACTTATAGTCCACTTTATCAACATGTGTCATATAATTATTTACGTAAACTTTGATTTCCTCAAAATTTTTACAGTTACAAATTTCCTGAAGAACTCGTTCGAATTCTGCATTAAATGTCTCTTTGTATTTTCGTTCTGGGTTTCCACTTTTATTTCTATTAACGGTACGTACAAACCAATTTTTTATAGATAATTCAGGACTTAAAAAGTGAGATATAGCTGCTTCTTTATCACCTTTTTGAACTTGTTCGGCAAGTTCCACAAAATATTTGAGTCTAACTGTTTCTGAATTAGTCATCCAAGCTATGTCATTGACCGCTCTTACACGTTCAGAGTTCCCCGCCTTCATTGCTTTTTTATGAATAACTCTCAATAAATAGTCTCCAACAGTATGACCCTCAGAAACAAGCGAATGTCCATATTGAAGCTGAGTATCAATGATCTTTAAGTACTCTTCTTTCTTTTGATCAAGTATGCCAAGTGAACTATTTTCCTTTTCCCAGTCGTCTTGAAATTTCTTCATTTTTGGTTTAAACTTTAACAAAGCATATAAATGAACATTCCATTTGAAATCAGACTCAAATTTGCTACGAGTTTTTTGAAAATTGACGATCGTCATGTATATTACTTTTTTGAGATCATTTACAATTCCAGGATAAATATGTTGAGAAGTTTTATCTTTGAAGATTAGATCGGCTAAAGTATCAAGCTTTCCTTGAAGATCATGGACGTCTTTCTTTTCCAAACATTGAGAGAACGAAGTTAAAGCATTATAACTCATCGGTTTATATGCTTTACATTTAGATAAATCTGGACAGATTCCATTTTTGTATTTATTATGAAGATCATTTGGCAATAGATTATAATAATATTTGACCTCATCATCTATTAGTCTCTCTACCGGTGTAGCCTTATCTTTTGATGATATATTAGACCTCAGTGCATTCCACATTTCTTCAATGTTTCGTATACGCTTATGATCAGGCAAACCTCTACTTTGCATATTTATTATGAAATTTTCTAAATGCATGTTGATTATCTCAAGAGATTCAGATGACAGACCTTTTCGGATAATGATGGCTGAAAGCATTCGAGTAAGTTTATCAGATACAGATTGACGATTAAGTTTGATATAATTTTCAATGGTTTGTTTAGTTTCCGTTTCACTTTTTTCATTATCTTTCTCCTTAAGGTACTCTTCCAGTTCAACCCTATCTTTATTCACCTTTTTACATTCTTCACAATTGGAGTTATTATCACAATTTAGTACATCTTCTAGCCCCGATTCAATCAACTTCAAA